AAGTGTTGGTTTTTGTTTTTCTTTTGTTGCTGAATGATACCGAAAACCGTTCCCTCAGGTATCATTTAGACTATCTGGATTGGAGGGACTCTGGCGCCCATGGGGGTGAAAAGGTCGTTCGAGTCTACTCTGTGGATGAGCATCTTATTGAGTTGTGTTCTTTGAACTATGGGGACGTTGGACCCGGGGCCAAGTCCCACTTACGCTGATCCTTGATTTATGGTCGTTGATCTTCCGAATCTGCGGTCAGAAATCGGTAATTCGGGTAAGTGGGACTTGGCCCCCGGTTTCCAACAGGTGACGCTCCCCACCAATAGATTGGAGCCATCGAACTGCGCAGGCCCCAACCGAGCGGGCTCTCTTATAGCCTGCCTGGTAGTCGCCTGTCTCCGATGATTGAACTAAAAAAAAAAAAAAAACGTTCCCTCCATATCCGCCACTAGCCAACTGCCTATGAATTTAAAGATGGCAGGTATTTACTCTTTTTTTTTTTTTTTTTTTTTTTTTTTTTTTTTTTTTTTTACAATTTGATACAAACGAGCTGTGAAAAACGAACGAACTTCACTCCACTTTCGCTGCTGCTCAAGCCCCTATTCTCACGTTTGCTGATCTGGCCTTTTATTAAGAGCTTCAACCTTCATAATAGAGTCCGCGTCTCGCCAGTAGAAAAAGAGGGAGAATAGATGATCTTTACATTTTTTTAGTTGCTCGCTGGTAGGAGATACGAGGTACGAGGTGATGGATAATGCATGCTTTCCCTGTTCGCACGTGTGCTGATTTGGCTTTTTATCAGGAGCCTCCAACTTACCAATAGCGCCCGTCTTGCCGGTTGAAAAGAAAAAAAAAAGGGAGAAGAGTTTATTTTTATATGTTTTTTTAGTTGCTCGCTGGTGAGATATATATGAGGCTAGAGTTGTTGGTTGCCCAGTGAGCGCCTGATCTCACAGTTTTGCTGCATCATACTGTCAGTTGGCAAGCCCTTCTGCTGATCAAATCTGTTTTTTTTTTAACCTGTCCCATTAGCCTGATCTCACGGTTTGTGGTTCATCATATTTGTCTGTTGGCAAGCCTTTTGCTGATCAGATCTACCTTTTTTAAGTTTTGTTAACCCGTGCTGCCCTACTATTTGGTTGCCCAGTGAGCGCCTGATCGCACGGCTTTAGCTTCATCATATTGTCTGTTGACAAGCCTTTCTGCTGATCACGTCTGCTTTTTTACCTGTCCCTTGCTGGCCCACTCCGAGGGGGGCCTACATGCGAACTTCAAAGTGATTTTAACGCGCTTTTTGCAAAAGAATCAGCGGCGGGCTCCCCATGGAGCCACGGCGGATGTGAACTAGAATGGGCTTGTGTGATAGGGAAGTGCCATCAGAAGGATAGGCCTCAAAACGGCGATGGTGGGGTTTTGAGAGAGAAAGGTGTTGTAGAAGCTGGGGGCCTGGGAAAGTGTGAACAAAAGGTAAGTCAGGTGGAGAACGGTCAAAAGGATGAACTTCGAAGAGAACATCATCATGAAGGTCAACAAGAGGGTCTTCAGGATCGTAATGATGATGATGATGATGACGATGGCTATACGAACCATTGGAATCAGAAGAGTAGAGATGAAGAAAGGGAAGAGGATAATGCAGGTGTGGGTCGTACAGTTTATTGGAAGAGAAGTGAGGACAGGAGAGTGGATATCAAAGATTCTGGCGACACCAAAGGCAGTGAGCAGAAGGAGAGCGAAGACAACAGGGTTGAAAATGCTCGAATCTGGCAGGGGAGGAGATGGGATTGGAGAATTCCTTGGTGCACAGAGAGAGAGAGAGAGAGAGAGAGAGAGAGAGAGAGAGAGAGAGAGAGAGAGAGAGAGAGCTGTCTCTTATACACATCTAGATGTGTATAAGAGACAGGAGAGAGAGAGAGAGAGAGAGAGAGGGGGGGTACGGGTGGAATTGATGGGGGGAAGGCTCGCCCACCGTGAAGCAGCCAAGCAAGTAAAATGTCCCCAGGCCCTGGCTTCAGGACATTATCCCCCAACACCACGAACAGTAAATGAACAAATCTGAACCTCTTGGACAGTTGCTGGCCAGAGAATGGTAGAGAGGTACACATAGGCCTGTTTAGATGGATACAGCTGGCGCCTTCTAGGTGAAGAGGTCTGTGTAGTCTCTCCTTCCGGCAGGATGGTCCGGCCTGAGAACTGAGTGTTTTAAAGACGACTCTGATGTATTAGG